CAGAAAAGATTTCCCATGCTAATGGTAACTAAAAGAATGCAACTGTGGCTATACTTACTTAAAAGTAGTTCAAAAAGCTTATGGGGGGCCCGGTATGATGGCTCAGTGGCTAAATCCTCATCTTGCAAGCACCAGGATCCCATATAAACAAACATTTCATGTTCCAGCTGTTTTGCTTCTCATTCATTTTCCTGCTTGTGGTCTAGAAAAGCAGTAGAGGATGGCTCAAAACCTTGGGACCCTGCTCCCACATGGGAGATTGTACAGAAGCTCCTGGCTCCTGGCTTTAGGTCAGCCCAGCTCCAGCCATTGAAGCCATTTGTGAAGCAAAATAGCAGATGGAAGATCTTTCTCTCTGTTTCTTCTTCTCTCTGTAAATCTGCCTTTCCAATAAAAATAAATAAAAATATTTTTAAGTTCATTGGAAAACAGAATTGAAAGATGTCTATTTTGATTCAAAAAATTTCTGAAATTCATTCTGTGACCTTTTTGAAAATCCCTTCATAAATTAATATTTTGTTTTGATGATTGCATATTTTTAGTTTCTCTGCATGCTTGCCATTCTCAGTGCTTTTTTTCCCCCTCTTCAGAGGACTAGGTTATCATATGTTATCATTTTCTTCCATCTGAAAGAACTCCCACCTGGCTGGCAGAAACCCAAGTGCTTAGCCCATCACCTGCTGCTTTTCAGGGCATATTGCCAGGAGACTGGATGAGAAGCAGAGCAGCCAGGACTGAAACTGGCACTGTGCTATGAGATTAACCTGGCCTTACCACTGCCCCTTATGGTACTGGTTTTATTGGTTAGTGGTTTTTGTCTGGTTCTCAATGCATGTCTTCTCTTCTTGTGTTATATAACGTTTGGGTAATTGGGCAGAGATAAGCAAGTGGCTATCTAGCAGCTGCTCAGGCTGTGTATGATTGGAGAAATACATTCGAATCTACCCAAAGTCCTCAGCTCTCCCTTAGCTGGACCATCAGTGGTGCCTCCACAGCCAGCTCCGCCACACTGATGCATACCTTAGCCACCAGTTAGTCAGGAGAGTAAGCGGAGCTTATTATATTCTGTGTGTTTCCCTTTTGAAAATAAAGATTTATGCTTATTTGAATGGCAGTGTTACAGGGTGGCAGGAGGCAGGATGTGGGGAATGGACAAAGATCCTCCATCTGCTGGCTCACCCGCTGAATGACGGCAATAGCCAGAGCTGAGCCTATCCAAAGCTAGGAGCCAGCAGCTTCTTCCAGGTCTCCCACGTGGTGCACAGGACCAACCACCCAGACAACCTTCCACTGCTTGCCCAGGGTATTGGTAGGGAGCTAGACTGGAAGTGGAACAGCCAGGTCTCAAACTGGTGCCAAGATAGGATGCTGGCATCACAGCCAGCAGCTTTACAAAAATCTCTCCTTTACAATTCTGGCTGGCTTTCTGTGTACGTGAAGTCAAGGTTTAGCCTCAAACCGATAAAGCTGTAGTTATTTACCTCCTGTCTACAACTGATCCCATGACCTTTAACCTATATAACTCAGCTTTGTCCCACCTGACCTCGTCCTCTGCATCCACTCGACAAAGCTGCTGTTTCCTGCTCTGATTCACAAACCGGACCTGCCACTCCCACTGGGGCTTTCTCCCTGCAGCTCTCCAGTCCAGGGACATGAGGCAGCCGCAGCCAAGATCACAGATCAATGGCCCTTCCGCGGCTGCAGCAGCTTTCTGAGACTTGTTTGTTTTCTGTTTGACCATTTTCCAGTTCCCCAAGATGGTTGCACTTTTTTTTTTAAGATTTATTTTATTTTTATTGGAAAGTCAGATATACAGAGAGGACGAGAGACAGAGAGGAAGATCTTCCGTCAGGTGATTCACTCCCCAAGCGGCCGCGCTGGCTGGAGCTGAGCTGATCCAAAGTCAAGAGCCAGGAACTTCCTCTAGGTCTCCCACATGGGTACAAGAGTCTCAAGGCTTTGGAATGTCCTGGACTTTTTTCCCAGGCCACAAGCAGGGAGCTGGAAGGGAAGCGGGGCTGCCTGGATTAGAATCAGCACCCATATGGAATCCTAGTGAGTGCAAGGCAAGGAAAGACTACTGCACCAGACCCTCCCTGAGATGGTTGTTCCTGGCAATTTTATCTAGCCTTATATATGCTTTCTTCCAGAGGAAATGGACTTTTTCCAGCAGTGTTCCTGGGGTGAACCCCAGACTGGATTCTCTTAGTGCTTTCTTCTGTCCACTACGCCACGGCCCACAGGTAGTGATTTTAATCTGAGGTGAGCTGGTAACAGGAAGCTGTACAGATGTATGGCGGGAAACCTCTGAATTTTGCATAAATCACCCCAAAGGTGCAAACACAGCTGGGAGAGCCAGCAAGAGCCAATACTGACCTGCCACTTATAGAGCCAAGTTCCCATCGCAGCCCAGCCCTGAGAAGCCCTTATGGGGGCTTCCTAACCAAGGTGCCTGACACACCCATCCCCAGCCTCAGCAACATGCCTCACTGCTGCCCATCTCTCCCTGGGGCCTTCCTCCTCTCTGCTCTCTCATGGCCCTTCTCGCTCTTTGAGGGTGGAAATGACCAAAATTGATTTCCACTTCTGTTCAGGTGTCTGAAACCAGAGACAGATGATGTCATTTCCTCCTTGGCCTTTTGGAGTGGCTGCTAGAATCTCTGGGTGTCTGTGTATGTGCAAATGTGCGTGTGCTTCAAACATCCATCCACTGGGGTGAAACAAAAGAGAAACTTCTGGGGCTAGCACAGTGATACAGCATGCTAATCCTCTGCCTGTAGCGCTGGCATCCCATATGGATACCAGTTTGAGTCCTAGCTGCTCCACTTCTGATCCAGCTCCCTGCTAATGGCCTGGCAAAGCAGTGGAAGATGGCTCAAGTGTTTGGGCCCCTGCATCCATGCTGGAGAGCCAAAAGAAGCACCTGACTCCCAGCTTCAGAGTGGTTCGGCTCTGGCTTTTGTGGACATCTGGGAGTGAACCAGTAGATGGAGTGTGTCTCTCTCTGTCTCTCCTTCTCTGGAACTCTGTCAAGTAAAAATAAGTTAGTCTTTTTTATGAAAAGAAAAACTTTTCTCCAGACACACAAAGGCCAGCATCCCTGAGCTCAGCACCCTGTCCACCCGTACCCACTTTACCCTTCAACAGATAGCAACAGACCCAGGAAAATGAATTTTCTCTGTAGTAGCTGTATTTCCTGCTCCCTGCAATACTCTCTATGTACTCCAGCCCATGTAGACACAGGCTGTCCAAAACTCCTATCTTTAGGAGGCTCCTTGATTGTTTGTTGGGTTCATGGTCACAAGAGCTGCTCAGAGCCACCTCCTTGGGAGCCCCTACCAGCCATCATGGATGGGGTCATTGCTCCCACCCCATCCCCACACTGTGCCTTGTGGGGCCACCCCTTTCTGCCCACAGTGGCTGTCTGTTTTCTGTACCTCCTCCCCCAACCTCCTAAGTCTGGGTACCCAATGAAGGGTTGAGCCCATTGACATCTGGCCCCACAGCCTCTGGTCTGTGCTGACCACAGAGCAGGTGCGCAGAAAAGCATGTTGTGTTCACTGAATGGAAATTAGACAGAGTTAGGGCATCTCAAGCCATTCACTTTGCTTAAGTTGAAAGGAGTCTGGAACTCTTCTAACTTGTGTTTAGGTTGGGTCTAACTCTTAGTTGTGAAAAAGCCAATGTAATAATAATTAATAATAATAATAGCTACCTTGTATAGACCACACCGAGTTACCAAATAGAGAAGATTACCAAGTAGAGAAGATGAAACCATCTTATAATTCAGATGTGGAGCTTGGGGTCTGGCACAATGACTAAATCCTTATCTTGTAACCGCCATTATCCCATATAGGCTTGGGTGTTTGTGTCCCTGGCTGCACTACTTCCCTTTCAGTTTCCTGCTTGTGGCCTGGGAAAGTAGTCAAGGATGGCCCAAAGCCTTGGGACCCTTGTACCCATGTAGGAGATCCAGAAGAAGCTCCTGGCTTTGGATCAGCTCAGCACCAGCCGTTGTAGCGATTTGGGGAGTGAAACAGAAGATGGAAGATCTTTCTGTCTCCTTCTCTCTATAGAGCTAATCAGCCCTTCCAATAAAAATAAATTAATCTTAAGAAAAAGAAGATGTTGGGCTTGGTCATACTGTAATAGGAAATTCTCTCATTTTCACCAAAGCCCTTTGGGGAAATGAAGCAGATTCTTTCCATAGTGCCTCAAAACCCATAATGCTGGGTTGTTGTTGTGGCTGCTACTGCTACCCACACCATTGGAGAAATACTTCCCTATCGGTAATGGCCAGTGAATGGCCCTACCATGCAAGAAAAGAAATTGCGGTGGGCACAGACACCATATACTGCTGTATGGAAGCTGGCCTGCCTGACTACGCCCCACCCCCCGGTCCTCCTAAAGGCACAGGCAGCTGGCTGGTGGCTCTCCACAGCTGCGGGCCCACTGTTCCCGAACTGGGGTCATGTGGGACCATCCCTTCCACAGTCTGTGTTCCTCTGAGTTTTCGTAGCCAAAGAAGTGGTATGATTGAAGCTCTGAGATCACTGTGAACTACTGGCTACCTGCATCACCCCCCAGACCCCATCCTGCAAAACCAAATAAAACCCATGGTGGGAATTAACACTTGTTGAGCACCAGTGCTGGGCCTGCCACTCTCTAATCGACCGTTTAATGTTCATAGCATCCTGTGAGCCAGCTATTCTTAGCATCATTTAAAAGACAAAACCAAACTGATGAGGCTGAGAGAACAGGTGCTGTGGCTTGTGCAGCTGGCATGTCATGGGGCCAGGCTTTGGCTACAAGGCAGAGCAGAATCCCTTATAGGGTATGTCTGGGGGAAAAAAATCACCTGCCATGTTGCCAAACCAAAGCCCCAGTAGCAAATTTTCTGGTGGCAGAGGGTTCTCACAGCCAGCGTGGCCCACGGTGGGAAAACACAGCCATGCCTGGTCCTTTCTCCGGAGCCTGTCTGGGACAAGGGGTTCTCTGGGACGTATGGGACCTAGTGAGCTCACAGAAGCCTCGAGAGTGCCTGGCTGGGAGGGGCGGGGCTCTTGCTGAGGTCGCCTCTTGGGGGCAGTGGCTCCCATCACAGCCTGGGCAAGCTGTGGAAGCCATGAGGTCCACCAACCAGCAGGGATGGGAGGAATTCGTCCGGGTGTGGGCCTTTCCTTGAGGACTGCCCTGTGAGATTCTGGCTGGAGACAGGAGGCTGCACCCCCACAAAGGCGCTGTGATTTAGACAGCAATGGTGAGACGCCACTGAAGTGCCGGCAAGGTGAGTCTCTGGCCCTTCCGGGTTCCCGGCTATCTCTTGTTACTCTAAATAGCGCAGTGCTCCAAGGTCTACGGCTGGGGCAGGGAGATGCTACAGTGTTGTTGATGGAGAAGGAATAAATGCAACCTGTACGACAGCCAAGTATGGACCAACCTGTTCCGTGTTTCTATTTTAGAGGTTTTGTTGTTTTTCACCTATGAAAGTTTGTCCATCTGGGTAGTTGCTGAGTTTTGGGTTCTCTAAGGCTGGAAAAGATAGCACAGCAGATGGGAAATTCATGGGTCGTAGGAGGGGAATGGACAGGCACACACTGAGAGCTGCAGGGCTCAGAACAAGGGCACCGGCCTCCATGGAGAAGGGGCTCAGATGAGAGGATGTGTGGTGATGTCTGGTTCCACTCTTGCTTTAATTTTGTTTGAGTGCAGGGCTGTTCCAAGTGTCACACATTTGCAGAAAGGGCTTAAGGATGCTTTTTCTGGCTAAGAGAAGGCCAACTGCTGGAATGATAATTGATAACATAGTTTGAGAAAATTTTGTAAGAATTCCTAGGACTTTGGCAACTTTTCCAGCCATTTTGAAATGGGCAATTGGTTTCATTACCAAGAACTGAAAGAACCTCTACCATTTGTGCATCTACAGTGACTAAGCGTTCTCTGGATGTATGTAGATCCTCCCTCCAGGAGGTGGCGCTCATTCTGATTGAGGCCTGGGCTTAGGAGGAAAGTGGAAAATGGCAACCCTACAGTGGAGAAATGTGCCCATCAAGGTTAGCAGCCACCAAGGTACACTATCTTTGTGAGCTTCCGCCATCAGGAAATCCTCCTCCCACCTCCCCCAACATTATACAGTCCTGTCTTAAAACAAGACAAACCCAAACTAAGGGATGATGCAGTGCCAGACATCACCTCTAGCACTGTCAAGATCATGACAAACAAGGAAAGACACAGCAACTGCCAGAATCAGGCCAGTCTAGGGAGGTGGGGCAACAAAAGCGAGAATTCACAGTCCCGACCAAGAGCCACCCACAAGCCAGAATTCACAGTCCTGATCAAGAGCCATGCAGGCATTAGCGGAGAACCAGGTAAAACACAGTTACAGTCTAGAATGATGCTGCTATGAAGGCACCAGTGTGAATGGTTTGGTTCTGGTCCTGCGGACACATGGGACCATTAGGAGAGGGTGGCTGGTGTCTCCATGAGAGCTATCTGCACTGCCATGGTGATGTCTTTTCTGTACACCTAAAACTATCCCAAACGAAAAGTTTTTTTAAAAAATGCACTCCTCCTGTTATGGAGCAGAAACAGATGGAGTGCACTGTTGGAAAATTGGCATCTGTGGTTCCATTCTGGAACACAGCAGGCCATTCGCCATTCATGTTTTCCTCTGTTCTCTCAACCTCCAGCTTAGTCCAGGAGAGCTCTGTGTCCTTCTCCACCCACACTCCTCACAACTCTCAGCCCAGCTCTCTGAGCCCAGTTCTGTGTCAGGGGGTGGAAGACTGCAAGCCTTCCTGACCTGCTGTGGGGCTCACTGGGCTGGTGCAGGCTCTCTGAGCACACACACCTGACTCCTTTCTGGGCTCTCTGAGACCCACACCTGACTCCTTTCTGGGAAGAATCAGAAGGCCGAGTACGGAAGTAATGCAGAGCCCAGACCCCAATGGCACACAGCCTCCTATCTGGATGGACTCTGTCAATCTCAGGTTGCTGCTGTCTATCCCTGGGACCTAATGGTCAGCCAAGGGGCTGTGAGCCCTGCTGGTCAGATCTTTGCCCAAAAGCCCACTGTGGCCAGTGGAGTGTAGCATGGGGGACTGAAGGTGCCAGCACTTGTGTGAGGGAGAATCCTACTTCCGGAACTCACCCTGCCACCCTGGAGTCTACAGCCTCAGCAATAGCTTCTCCGTGGCCAGTATCCCACTCCTCAGGTGCAGGCAGGTAAAGAGGGAATAGCAACATGAGGCAAAGGACTCCTCCCCAACTCCCCTCTGCTGCCTCCACAGAGCAGGTGCACCTGCTCAAAGGTGATGGCCCCACCAGGTGAAAGGTTTCAGGGGCAGGTGAGGAAGGAGACAGAGCTGTGAAGTTGTAGGATGCCAGCACTCAGGTGAAATGTCACAACACCTCAGTGAAAACCTTGAGATCACGTAAAATCAGAACTCAATAGCAGTGACTATGGTGGGACCCAACAGGTTCCCCTCCAGCCACATCTGAATCATCCACTGCCAGTCCCTTTGCAAATTACACTGGCCCCTGCAGTTTCTGGAATGCACTTTGCTTGCCCTTGCTTGTCCACTGTCATGGAATCCCCTCTCCAACTTCCCATCCTCCCCTTTTAAGGCTCAGGCCTGCCATGAACAGCTCCTCTTCATCCTTGTACCTTGGCTCATCCCTGCGTCCCCAGCACCTGCTTAGGGATCTGGCTGGCAGGTAGACTCAGTTTTCTCAAGGTCACAGGCAAGGTCTCCAGGCTCCTCTAGATTCAGTATCCAGCACAGCATCTGGCCTAAGGGTGGTGGCGGGCAGTACCCCTAAAATGATGCCTGGGTGACGGAAACAAGGGTACAACCCTGAGAGCAAGTATAGGCTCAGACATGCTTCTCGGGAGAAGTCTTCACAGCTGCAGAAGAGAGATATTTATTTAAAGACCTCCTCTGGTGCTGTTGCACTTCCCCTGTTGGGTTCTGGACACGGGCCTTGGCAGCTCTGCTTCCTGCTCAGTCGTGGGGTGCAAAGGAAAGCACTGGCCCCTGGTGCCAGCTGGGAGGGCACTGAGATCTGTCTCTGTCCCTTGGGGGACTGTGAGCCAATGTCCTGTCTGTACTTCAGGCTCTTCCTGTGAAGCAGCAGCAGCTACAGCCTCATCAAGCATAGGTGCCAAAGCTAAAAAGATTCACCTGATGGGAGTCTGGCTGAAGCTCAAGGCCCAGAGCAGGGTCCTTCCAGGGCACCCTGTCTTCACAGCATTCCCTTGCTAAGGGGCTGGGACTTGGGGGCCAAAAGGACAGCCCTCCTTGCCTGGGGACGGTGTCACTGCCCCTCTCTGCTGGCCTCTTTGAATACCCAGACACTGGGGACGTTGAGCCAGGACTGGAGGCAGGCATACCTTGAGGTATAGAACTCAAAGAGGCTGGCCCTCCCTCCCTGCTGGGGCCATCCACATGCACGAACTATTTATGTAAGTGTGAAAAGCACTACCACAAGTCGTGTCTGCGAGGGCACTGGACACTCTGGGCTTAATTTTATTGGCTTTGAGCTTCGAGACCAGGGCCTCTTGGGCAATTTGCTGGTAATAATAAACTCCTTGACCTTATGTGCCAGCATTCACGTTGGTGGATGCCCATCTGCGGAGAGCACTGTAGCTTTTACGTTTGCCAGCTCAGAAGTATTTGGAATCTCCAAGTCAAAGGTTTAGTGAGGTAATTTCATTTTATCTCTTGGTGTGGCTATCCCGAAGCGAGAAGGACTTGGGGATGGGAGTGAGAGGGCACACAAGGGACTGAGTCCAAGGTTTAGCCTAGCCACTTCCTGGCCGTGGGACACTGAGCAAGTTGCTGAGTCTCTTCCTAAGATGACAGTTTGACTCCAGTTTCTACAGTCACTTCTACCTAGCTCCGGAACAGTAGCTTTGCTCTCAGTCCTCCTTATTTGTTGAGAACAGTGCAACACAGAATGTGATTAACCCAAAGCCTTAACTCCTGAATGAGTTGACTCTGGTGCACGGGCAGCACTGCCCTTAGCCTACACCTGGCCCAACTCTCTGAGTTGGAATCACTGGGGCAACCCCTATGGGTGGAAAAGACATTTAACACTCCTTTGGCTTATTTTTATGCATGATACTTGTTGGAAATCTTTAAAAAGGATAGCTTGGTTTTATTATACTTCTCGAAAGAGGAAAACAACTTGATGCGAATGAGATGCAGGGAGCTTGACGGGTCAGGTGCATTCTTTTTAGCAAGTCAGTTAGGTCAAGAGCCATGTGTTTGGACCTCAGTGCGTGGGTTGCTGGGAGAGAACCCTGCTCTGAATCGGGCTTGAGCACCCTTGGCTGCTGGTCACCTCACACACGGCTTGTGCAGGATTTGTCTCATGGTGGCCTTGGAGCCTGAGATGCCACCACTCCATCCAGGAGCTCTGTAGAGGGACTTGGGAGAATTCCTCTTGGACTCTCAGGAGAAGTAGGTGTTGCTTGAGCCTCACCACTTCACAATGACGGCCGGCACCAGCTCTCTAGCCATGCTTCTTCTTCTGTCTTAACACCTTCATCTGATTTCTTTCTCTGTTTTTCTCTCATTACATTATGTTTGAAGTGGCCTCAACTCTTTTTTTTTTAGGGACACCAGGACATGAATGAACATACAAATATACACAGAACTTTTCAAAGAGCCCAGGGCGAGGTGTGTACGCTCAACAAGAATGTTTCCTTTTTATGTACAAAAAATAAGGGAACTCTCACTATCTGACCATGGTGAAATATGTAGCTGTGGGTCTATTACAGTTGCATAAAAGCTAGTTTCAATTGTCTGCTTTTATATACACTCCCCTATGCATTGTTAACATTTAATAAAATCGTTTCATTGGAAACCTCTTTTATCCCTGTTATTCTGTGGTACAACTGGGTTTTTTTTTTTTATTTATTTACATCATTTGAAATGCAGAGACACAGAAGGGAAGACAGAGATCTCCCATCTATTAGTTTATTCTCCAAAAGCAGCAGCCAGGGCTGGGCCAGGCTTAAGACAGGAGTCGGTAACTGCATTCAGCTCTCCCCTGTGAGTGGCAGGGACCTGTGTCCTTGAACCATCACCTGCTTCTGCTGAGGATGCATGTGAGCAGGAAGCTGGACTCAGAGCAGATCTGGGATTCAGACTAGTTCTCCAGTGTGGGCTGTGGCATCCTGAGAGGCAGCTGAACTGTTATTGTTATGCCAATGCCTGCCTCTAGATGTTTTGAAATTATATGCTTTATTATAAAAAGACATCGCTTATGAAAACAGATTCA